CCATCCCTTTAATAGGCTTCACCTTTTGTTGGCCAAAAAAAAATAGGCTTCACTTTTAGAGGCCTATCACGTTAAGCTTCTCATTGATTTAAAAAAACCTAATATGTGAATTCATTGCGATCAAATCTAAACTATTTAATTCAGTTTGACTGGTCCAAATTTAAAATTATTTTAGATTCTGCGTTATCTGTTAAAATAAAATATTATTAAAAATATAAAATTGGAAAACAATTTCTAATTTCCATGAACACTGGACAGAAGCAGATTTTTTTTTTGTTAGAAATTGATAAAGGCTGATTGATGGCCATTTTCAGTTTACATGATATATATTTAACTCGCTTGATAAAAATTGATAAGCTTAATAAATTTATCTAGTTTAAATTTATAAATTAGTTAACACGATTTTATAAATAATTAACATAATTTTGCAAGTTAAAAATATAAAATATTAAATTTAAGGAGTCAATTTAAAAGTTTAACAGTCATGATCCTGAATCTAAAAATAAAATAAAATCTGAATATTATATAAAATTTAATTTTTTAAAAAAGTATTTTTCTGATTTTATTACTTTCAAAAAAATATAAAATCTTATTTTTCTTTTTTAAAAAGATAAATTTCATGGAAATTTTGCTGATATCAATTTTAGGGAATTTAATCTTTCTTTTTTAAAAAAAAAAAATGTAAACCGCATGAAGGGATGGGCGAATGGATGAGAAGTACAATGAAAAGAAACACGGTAAGAAGAAAACTGTCTCCTTTCTTGTTTGTCGTTTGTGCAGTTTCTTCCGTGCGGAGAAAATATATATTTATTGCTTTGATTGAGTACAAGGGCGTTTTCTTAAAAAAAATTACATAATATCCCACATAAAAAGGTTAATTATTATAAAATTCGTTAACAACTGACATATGAAGTGATTCATAATAAATGCATTATAAATCACCTTATGCCAGTTATTAACAGATTTACAGTAATTAATTTTTTTTTGTTTTTATATTATAAATTATCTTATGCCAATTGTTAATAAATCTCGTAATAATTAATTTTTTTGTGTGAAACTTCAACATAATTCTTCCATTTTCTTATGTACTTATCCACCTCTTCCAGAATATTCTTTGAGAATTCTCCTTTTAAAAAAATACTTAGATAAATCAGATGCACCACATAATTTATAATCTGTCCAATTAAAATATTTTAAATAATCTAATAAATCTTGTGTGACATTTTTTAATTGGTTTTATTTTTATAACAAAATACATATTAATTTCTTACCTTTTCTCTCTCTTCTATCATTAATATCAAAATTAATTTATATTTAATATCATCTAAATGTCATGTTTTTATTAAACAAATTACAAATGACGTAATCACTTAGTCTACCTAAGTATTTCTTCTCCTTTCATTCAATATTATAGAATATTTTTTCAAAACATCATATTAAAAAATATAAATCTTTTAAATCTTTTAAAATGTAATTAATAACTTTTTTTAAAAAAAAATGGTCTGATTAGAAGATATAATAATAATTTTTTAATTAAAATATTATATTAAATAAAGATAAAATAAAAAATATATAATTTTAAATGTGATTAACGAACTTATTAAAAATATGAATTAGCTAAAAGTCAGTTATGAAAACAAAAAACAAGGTTGGACCAAGTTGGATATGAAATTGATGAGGGGCCGTTGATGCTCATTACTGAGAACAACAAATAACGAAGGTAGTCCTTATTTCAATCAATTCAGAACATTTTCTTTTCGTTGGTTTTGATTTATTTCCAATTCCAATGAGTTGTGGAAGAATAAGGTCATGTTTGGTACATTAAAATTGGGTCTAAGAGAAATGAAATTAGAATTGGAATCATGCTTTCAATTGTTTGGTATACATGAATACAATTCCTTATGGATTTCAATTCTACCAAAATACCTAGAATTCAATTCCATCTCCATCATGATAGAATTGCCACAATTTTATGAAATTGTCATAAGTGCCCCACATACACACTCCATCATAATGGCTAAGTTTTTTATTTTTTTTAAGGGCATTTTGGTCTTTATCTATTTTAAATACATATATTTATTAATATTATATTCAGATTCCATCTTCATACCAAACACACTTTTAAAATTCAATTCTATTCCGATTCGATTCCAATTTCAATTCCAATTCTAATTTCAATTCTATTAAAAACTCTTCCACCATATCAAACGAGGCTTAAAAAATGACAACTTAGCTGCCAATTGCCAGCATCTTGAGCCGTGGAATGGTCCCAACCACATTATGTTTGGTTGCTTTTATGGCGGCCGACCTAGAAAAATTACGTCATAAGAGCAAACTTTTTACTCAATAAAAATAGAATGATGTTTTATTTTAAAATTAAAGAAATTTATTTTTTAAATTATTACCCCACCTTCCATTTATTAAGATTGCAACATATATAGATAAGACCTTGAGTTACGTGAGACCTTTCCAGAGGAAAACTGTACCTTTTTTTCCCCCTGTTTGGGAAGGGGCAACTGAAATTTTTTCAAATATTTAGAATTATTATCTATAATTTTTAGGACAAAAAAATAAATTAGCCCTCAAATTATAACTTTGAGAGCATTTAGGTTCTAAATTCATTTTTGCTAACATTATTCCCCTTCAAATTTTGAAATTAATTAAAAAATGATATCAAAATTACATAAAAGGACTAAAACAGTACAGAACCCAAAATTGCATTAGAGAATTCAAAAAATTACCCAAAAAAAAGACTAAAAAAATTTATTGATCATTTTCTACAATTTTTATATGCTTCTTTGTTTTATTTTTTTAACTAATAGTTAAAATTAACTTTATATTAATAATATGAGCTAGATTGCTTTGTTTTTAAAATTGAAGGGAACAATGCAAGAAAAAAAAAATTAAGATCCTAAACTCTTTTAAATTTAATTTGCTCTATTACCCAACTTTTCATAACAAGGGAACACTTCTACAAGAATTGTCTCTCCCGAAAAAATGTGGGTTACAGAAACTGCCTTTAAAAAATTAGATGAATCATGTTACCTACCCCATTCTTGCTACCTAAGTATCTTGCAAGACAATTCCATAATCAACTTCTTTCCATTCTTTACCTTCTTTTCCATAACCAAACCGCTCCATACTGTCAATGAAATTTCCTTTCTATTTTTGTTGAAGAAGCAAACCGTGCTTCACAGTAATTTTGCGAGCATGTTGATGCAATTTAGTTCTTTTAACCCTTGAAATTTTATTGTTGTCATGTCACTATTGCTGATGCTTTGGGCATCTGCATCTCTTAGGTGCATGCAAAAATGTTCTTCAGTAAGGGCTGACATGGAACCACAAATTAATGCTCTGTTTCTGGTTACTTTGCATTTGAATTCAGCTCCGCAAGGCAAACATTGATGGTATTCACGTTTGAAGTTCTGATTTTACAATTCCAAAAATTTTTTAGGGTAGTTTTCCTGTCATCAATCTGCATCTTATAATAACGGCCGCATTTGTTGACTTGTTTCGTTGATATTGTTGCAGCCGAAATAGATCGGCGGATCTGGATTCAATCTGATATATATATATATATATATATATGAGAAGGGTGAAGAAGTGAACAATAGTCAATCTTTTATCGTTGGATGAAGATATAAAATTAAACGAAAGAAGCAAGAAGAAGAGAATATGAAAGTTTATTAATGGGTTGAAACAACAAATGAGAGACAGAAACAGAGTGGAAATGAGCACTAATAAATGGCCCTGAGGGCAGGAAGGAGGAGGAGGAGGAGGAAGGTTAAGGATGAAAGAAGAGACAAAAGAGAAGCAGCAGCGACTTGATGGCAGAATCTGGAGAAGACATTGCAGACTTTGTGCCATTGAAGATGGGAATTGCCTTGGAAGCCAATCACTCCCACAGCTATGGCGCCTCCACAGGCTGAGAACAGCAATCCACCATCACTGAGTCCATCACTCTCATCACTGCTTCAAGTCCTCTGCTTCTTCTTCCTCCTCTGCTTGCAACCCCTCCTACTACAGCACTCACCCCTGCGTACCCACATGCTATTGCATTCGCCACCACAAAGTACCTGGTTCATGCATCCACATCTTTTACTCAGCTCCTTTTTTCCAGAAAAATGGAGAAATTAATGTTTTAAACTATTATAGAAAGAAATTCCATTTTTAGTAATTAGAAAATAGATTAGAAATATATAAAACTCATGACATGTTTAACCGCTTAGCTTAAGCTATTAAGATGAAGTAAGCAATTCTCAAAAGTACTTCATATAAAAACTCAACATGGTATCAAAAAACTATTTCAAAGGCATATGAGACTAAAAAAAAAAAGAGTATAATTCTAGAGAAGAAGAAAAAGAAGAAGATGGAATAAAAAAAAGAGTAACATTAAGAGAGTATTAGAGAAAGAAATCTCACATCTAGTAATTAAAAAGTAGATTAAGAATATATAAAGTTTAAAAGATTTCTAATCAAGTAACTTAAATTACTTTAGTGAACCAGACAATCTTTTGAAACGCTTAATATAAAAGCCTGGCTTAACCTGATTTTCAATGATAGTGGACATGAGTGGAGAGGACTTACACGAAGGCAGACACGTAATGGTACTTAGCAGGAACAGGAAGGTTGATAGTTAAAGCATCCGAGATCTTGAGATCTACCAGCTTCGTCTGCTTATCTATGCCAACCAGAACAGCGGCAACAAGAGAGAACACCAACCCTAAAACCCTCAACAGCAAATCACAGGCCTTGGCTTTCTTGCTCTCGTAACTATAATTTGCAATGTTGGCTCCAGATCCTCCTTCTCCTGCTTTGCTCATCTCCATCTCTGATCCTTCAATTAAAAGTTGTGCAGAAGAGGGAATATGGGTGATGTCTTAAATAGGCGAGGATGGATCCGTCACGAGGTCAAAAAATGGGACTGTGTTGAATGCTGAAGGAAATCCATGCCATTGTGTTTCTGTGTGGAAGGCTGGAAGCATTAATGGCGCAAGGTAAGCGATAAGCGACAAGATACAACAGTTCATCACATTTAAGTGTCGCGAACTAATTGCTACTGTAACACTTAACCAACAGCCGTGTGGTGTACCACTGCATCGTATATCACTTACAAATATTTTTTACCTCATAAAAAAAAGGACATTTTTAAGTAAAATCATACTTAGCTATAAAATTTATTAAATATATTTTATAATTTTATTTTTTTAAAATATAAATATAAATTTTTAAAAATACTTTTCATTTAATACTTTCTTGGTGAAAGAATATTAAAGGGAGAGAATATATAAAAAGTGTAATATTAAAAAAAAATATAATTAATTAAATTTTTTTAATCAAAGTGTCTTATATTTTGGGATATCAAATTTTTTTAAAAAATATTTTATAATTTACAACAAAGGTAATATTTTCAAGGGCAAAAATACCCAATAAACTGTTGGCCAAGAGTATCCACTATTCAATAGTCAAAAGTGAAGAAAAGTGCATGAGTGCTCAAGAAGTTACTTTTTTGGTGCATCTGTAATCAAACCATTTAAAATTCAAAAATGTTAACCATTATATTGTAGTAACAGTTTAGTTACAGATGCATTGAAAAAATAATTTCTTAAGCACTCATACACTTTTTCTCATTTTAAATTATTAGATGCTTCTGATCGACGACTTTTTAAATATTTTTGTCTCTTTTCCCTGTTTTCAACTCGTTACCACAAAAACAAGTTTAAGTCAAATCATTATATATTCTCTCTATCTTAAATTATAAAATACTTTTAAATAAAATCATACATATCAATAAAGCTCATTAACTACATGTTATAACTTAATTTTTTTCAAATAAAAATATAAATTTTTGAAAATGCCTTTCATTTAATATTCTATTTATGAAAGAATATTAAAGAGAGAATATAACAGGGAGGATAATGTTAAAAAAATATCATTAATGAAACCCATTTTTTCTCAAAACATCTTATATTTTGGAATATTAAATTTTCTCAAAAATGTCTTATAATTTAAGACAAAGGGAGTAATAATTTTTGCTATCTTAATTAGTGTAAATACATCATTATCAAAGAGAATACTAGACAAAGTATTAACTAAAAGAGGTTTTATTTAGCAACATATAAAAAGATTTGAATGTTAATAAAATATAATATCTTATAATTTAAGACAGAGGGAGTATAATTTTTTGTTATCTTAATTAGTGTAAATACATCATTATCAAAGAGAATATTAGACAAAGTTATTAACTAAAAGAGGTTTTATTTAGCAACATATAAAAAGATTTAAATGTTAATAAAATATAATGACATTATTTAATTCATATGACTGACCTTTTATATATATATATATATATATAAACAGTTACTAGTTAAAACACTACTAATTTAAAAGCTAGTAATGAGTAGACAAAAAGAAGTCGTAACAAAATATGTTTATCCACTACATTATTGTAGCATCAGCAAGCGAGTCTGAAAATTAAATCACCAGCAGCTCATCCTATATTCAAGGGTAGCATGTGAGTTCCAATCCAAGCATGTCATCATCATAATTCATGATGAAGATAAAATAGCGCCCCTCTTTTAATCTTATTCATCAGATAGAGAGAAAATTAATTTTAATTTTATTTATATAATACTTTATTATTTTTTATGTTTATTTTTTCGTTTATATCTTTATTAAATGTTAAAAAAATTATTGAAAATATAGTTTTTTTTCTCTTTATTAGAGAGTATAAGTAAAAACTTGTTAAATTTTAAAGGTTTTCTTAACACCTTCTACTACATATATTAGCGTTGTCAGTGTGAAAATCAGAAGAAATGGGTCCATATGGAATCGGAATTGAGTTGGTTGGGTTGATGAGTTTGGGAAAAAGAGTGGAAAAAATGAATTTGATGAATAATTAGGAAGCAATTAATTAGAAGAAGGTGGTGAGCTGGGTGAGTGGCGTGGATTGCATATGACTGCGGGATTCCCGTCACATCACGCCCTCATCATTCACCGTTCCTGAAATGGATTCCCTCCTCCGAAACTGTTGGACCGTCCACATTATTGGAGGGTTTAAATTTAATATTTTTTGTTTAAAATAAAAAATTATATAATAAATTTTTTATTTGTCTGTACAGTCTAAATTTAATATAAATTATTCATATTTAATATTAAATATTTTATAAATTAATTTTTTAGATATATTTAATATATAAATTTTTAATAAATTTATTCACCTATTTGTGCAGTCCAAATTTAATATAATATTTCATATTTAATATCAAATATTTTATAAATTAATTTTTTTGAATATTTTTAAACAATAGGTTCAATATTAATTTTTTTAATAATTTTTATGAATTAAATATGGACTACTCATAATAAATTTAGATTATCTAGACTAATAAATGGATTGTTAAAATTTATAATTTTTATTTTAAAATATATGAAATAAAAAAATATTAAATTTGGATGTTTAAAATTAATAAGAGGGTGGGAGGAGGATAGGAAGAAGGGGCAGCACGAGTACAGAAACCAAGTCCCATCATTCCTATGTATCTCTTTCACATGTTTAGCCCTTCATTTGCTTATTTATATCTTATTCATTCTTATCAAATTTTCAAGAGAATGATAAAGAGATTTTAAAAATATTAATTAATTTAAATTAGATTTTAAGTATTAAATTTAAAAATTTTTTACACAATCGATCAATTTTGTAATTATGTTCTAATAAATTACAACTTATATTCTGTTAAATTTTAAAATACATGTTATAAATTCATTATAATAAAATTATACAATTATAAAATTGAGTTATAAATTCTTAAAATTTTACCACTTGAAACTTAATTAATTAATTTTTGGGACCTCCCAATCATATCTCAATTTTCAAGGTTAAAATATATAAAATTTGGGATTTGCGCAAGAACTCTCTTATTTTAAAAAATTTTAAAATTAATATTTTTATTTACTATAAAGCTTTCCTACATTCTTTTCAATTATTTTATCAATAGAAGCATTCATATCATTGAGAAAAAAAAAAAAACATGTAGGATGCACAGGGTTGGGGAAGGTAATTGCCCCCATTAAAATAACAAAAATTGTTTTGATTTTAATTAAAATGCACTTGCCTCTCTCTAAAATTATATTTCCTCCCGGAAAAAATCAATTATCCCATACTCTCTTTAAAAGTATCAAGTACTACATATTTAAAAATATTATTTACTCTTATACTTATTATAAGAGTAAATTTATGACACAAATGAAACTAATATACATTTTTAAACTTTTCAAGTATTTTATTTATATATTACTTTAATTAATATTTAGAATCATATTTTCCAAAAATATCAATATTTATATTTAGTTAAATATTACCCCCTTTCAATAAATTTTTTGAGTCCTTCACTATATATGGCATTCACTATATATGTTTTTTAATATAACATGACAACTTTTATTAATAAAATAACTTAAAAATAATAGTAGTGGAGCCTATTGTAAAAAAAAAAGTTAGAGAAATTAATTTTAAATTTTTAAACGTGAAAGAAGCATGTGCATCTGTTTTAAATTTAAAGGAGTTTTATATATCTTAGTTAATTTTTAATATATATTTGCATGCTTATTTAATAAATTATTCAGCAAGAAAGAGCTCCTTTGTATTTTAGGATATTAGTCATTACTAGGTTTATCTTAACGTGGAAAGTTTCCCATCAAATAGATTAGTGTTTAATAATGTACTCATTTTGGATCACAACATAAATTATTTTTTAAAAGCTTTATTTGATTCAAAATATAAGGCATTGGATATGTGCTATATTTTTTTTAATTATACTCTTACTTTATTAAATAATTAATAAGGTATTTTGAATAAGTCAAATATTATATTTATTACATTCAATAGCAAAATTGAAAAGATATAAAAATTTTAGAAAATTAATATTTTAATCAATTTTTTTAAAAATTAATAACAATTACTTATATTATAATTTAAAGAAAGTAAGTATATATGAAGAAATAATATATAAACTGGAGCTTGAAATGCTTTAAGTTGAATTAAAATGTGGTGTTGATTGTCCCACTCCCACCATCCTATTTGTACCCTCCTCATTTGGGTTATCTCTTTTGATTTTGCTGAGTAATTCCTAGCAAGTGCTATCTGTAATATCTTAAATTTTTAATTATGAAACTAATTATTAATTAGGGGTAAATTAGTGGGTAGTTGGGATTTTGAATGGTAAACTTATATTTTGGTATGTTGGATGTTAAATAAATAGAATTGAGTGGAACAACGATGTTTCAGAGCAAAATATGTGACCATGGTGAGATGTTCTTTATCGTGCCATATGTTGTAGCATATGCTGCACACGCTGTGGCACAAAACTTTAAAAAAATTGATGTGTGGTCAACTTATGGGATCAGAAGGAAAGAGGTAGGGGAATGCAAGAGAGAGGAGGAGAAGGCTTGTCTCTACTAGGGCATCGAATCTTGGAGCCTTGAGAGGTATTTTCAAATAGCCACTTATCAAATAAGTTTTATACTGTCCTAAACTTCGATTTTACTTTAATTTCTCTTAATTTAAGTTATAAAAAAATTGAATCAAAGAGTTTTAATGAATTTATTTCTTACCCTATAGTAATAAAAAGATTCTTGAAAATCAAACTAAGATTTCGTGACTAATTTAAAAAGTTATGATTAAACTTTAAGACTCTAGGCTGAGGTTTAGCCCTAACTTGATAGTGGAAAGGGGTAAAAATTTGGTGTAAGATGTGTTGAGATTTGTAGAAGTGATAGGAAGGTTAAAGAGGGTGATTAAGACTTAAAGTGGCTACGTGAAAGAAAATGAATGGTTAATTATGGATAATAGTGATAATTAGTACTTGTGGTCAATTTATAAATTGACCAATAGTGATAATTTGTGTAGAGCATATGCAATTTGAGAAAGTGAAAGTGAGTTGTGATGTTAAGTACTAGAAAGACAATTATAAGTAA